TTTTAGGAGTCAAAATCGTGTAATCTGACACAGTGACTATCGTGACCGACAAAAATATTGTGTAGTCTGAACCGGGCATAACACAGATTGATGTCTGTTTGGTGAATCAATACTTTGTTATTAATCAGTACCGATTTAAGTCGTTTAAAGGTAAGAATGGTCTAATGTTGGCATGTATTTTGCACAGTAAATGAACAAAATAACTCGATCCACAACATTGACATCAGCAAACCGCTCACCCACACGACGCCATACACGCTGTCTGCCATCTGCCCTGTACTGTGCTGTGTGATAAAACTGCACATTTTAGAGTGGCCTTTTATTGTGGCCAGCCTAAGGCACACCTGTGCAATAATCATGCTGTCTAATCAGCATCTTGATATGCCACACCTGTGAGGTGGATGGATTATCTCGGCAAAGGAGAAGTGCTCACTAACACAGATTTAGACAGATTTGTGAACAATATTTGAGAGAAATAGGCCTTTTGTGTACATAGAAAAAGTCTTAGATCTTTGAGTTCAGCTCATGAAAAATGGGGGCAAAAACAAAAGTGTTGCGTTTAAAATTTTGTTCGGTGTACATGTGGTGATCGCGAGCGCTCATGTATTCTCATTAAAACACCGTATGATCATTAATACATGTAGCTAAGTATATATCAAATTAAACTAGTATCAACAAAATCCATTTACACTGCAATTACAATTTCATAAATAATTATGAGGTTAATGTTTTAAAATGGGTATTTTGAATATAGAAATACGAATAGTGTTTGAGGAAAACAAAATTATTGTTATATTTGGAACTAAATCCGCTAGATATAGCTAAGTGAATTAGAGAATCATTCATTCAACCAATTCCTTCAAACATTTTATGAATGAAGCAAACACTTTATGAACGAATTGACAGTAACCTCTTGAACTGTTGTGTAAAATGATTATCACACATGTAATTGTGCTGATATTTGGGAAAATAGCGCTCTTGCTTTTGCTATTAGGCTATGTTATAAAGACAAAAAATAAAAACTCCTCCAGGGGCAGTTCATATTATCTTGAGTTTGGTGCGGGGAGGCAGGGCTCTTAGCTCCTCTAGGAACCCTGAAGCAGCCACACATGAACACTCCACAGCTCCAGGCTGGGGTGCCATATCAAGCCATTCGCTTGAGACAGCAGGTTCCTTCTGAGGGAGATTCACCAAGGGGGAGCCACCAGCATCTCCCTGAGGTCCAGAAACCAGTTTTGATTTGGCCAGTTTGGGGATCAGCGATGCTCTCTCTCTTCCGTGATTTTGCATAAAACCAGAGGCAAACTCTTCACCGGGGGTAATGCATAGAGTCTGGCTCTCGGCCAGCGCAACGTCATAGCGTCTCCCATCAGCAGGGAGTGAGACAGCAAAAAGAACAGCGGGCAGTGTGTGTTCTTGCTTGTCTTGAACAGATCTACCTCCGCCCTCCCGAAGCGATCCCAAATCATCCGAAATGAACTGGGATGCAGTCTCCACTCCCCGTGAGGGATTCCGTTCCTCAAAAGCATGTGTGCTCCGCGGTTTAGGAGACTGGGGATATGTGCCACTCTGATGGAGAGTAGATTACGATCCACCCATATTAGAAGACATGCAGCGTGCTTGAAAAGGGGCTTTGGAGCGCACGCCGCCTTGGCAATTTATGTACGAATCCACATTTTGTCGGTGTGAATCAGCACATGCTGCTGTTCCAGCTGCGGCAGAAAAGCCAGTGCTAGGGTTAAGGACACCACCTTCAGTTCCAAGTGGTTTATGTACAACCTGCTCTAAGACTCTGACCACAGGCCTGAAGCAGGTATGCTCTCGCACACTGCTCCCCAGCCTGAGGTTGACGCATCTGTCATGACCACAGTGCATGCTGTCACCAGTCCCAGGGGAACCCCCCTGCTGAACATTAGTGCTGACGCAGCTGTGTGTGACCTCGACAGGGCTGGATTTATGCATAGGCATTCTAGGTATGTGCCTATGCTTGCTCGTCCAGGGGGCCCAAACACAATGAAGAGATATATAATATTTTTGTTATACTATGGGATATCTACAACAGTACAAGAACCAAAAACCCCAGAAGACATTGAGCAAATAAATATAACAAACAATAGCGTAAAAATGACAAACTATTTCCATGTCGTCCACCTTTTTTATGTACGGCAATCACGCTTTCTTTCTCCCTCACGTTCTCTCTCACAGACGCACACACAATACAGACACGTACTCGCACGCACAGGCGGAAACACGGACAGAAACTTGTTGTCAGAGCTGCGGCTGCCCCGCGAATTTATCAATAAAATAGTTTCGCATTTCTCAGTAGCGAGGTTCTTGAAGCAGTTCAACTTAAAGATTCACTATTAGTAGACGCTGCTGCTGAATACTGCTGAGATGTCTTCCACCTTTTTTATGTACGGCAATCACGCTTTCTTTCTCCCTCCCGTTCTCTCTCACAGACGCACACACAATACAGACACGTACTCGCACGCACAGGCGGAAACACGGACAGAAACTTGTTGTCAGAGCTGCGGCTGCCCCGCGAATTTATCAATAAAATAGTTTCGCATTTCTCAGTAGTGAGGTTCTTGAAGCAGTTAAACTTAAAGATTCGCTATTAGTAGACACTGCTGCTGAATACTGCTGAGAGACGCACAGATGCATGGAATGGTCTTTCTCAGTTCTCAAACAAATTAAGAACTACATTCGATCTTTATTGACTGAACGCAAGCGCTTAACAAAACCAACTGGCTGATGATGACCCCCATACATTTGTAAATAATTTAAATGTTTTTTATTCGCTTCAGCGATGACGCTGCCTCCGTCCATGGATTGCAAGAGCTTGGCTTGGAAAACATGCAGCATCGCCATAGCATGTAGCGCGGATGCCACCTGACCGGCAGAAGTGTAAGCCTTGTCAGCAAGGTGGGCAGTCAGCCTGCAGGGCTTGGACGGCAGTCTGAGGTCTGCGCCCAGCATGGCCGAAGAATGGCATAAGTGCGCAGTGACTGTCTCCTCTACGGGGGGCATGCGCACGTATTCGTGGGCTTCCACCCCGTCCACGTGGGAAAAGAGAGACTGCGTGGGAGCGTGGACTCGCACCAATTGGGGTGCGAACTACGACTTCACCATGTGCTCATGGGCATCTGGGAAGAAGCAGCCTGAAGATCTCCTCGAAGCAGCCTGGCGGCCCGACTAGAAGTACCAGGAGTCGAGTTTACTCCTGGCTGGTTCATCCGGAGCATCCCAGCTAAGGTCAAGTTCCTTAACCGCCTTAGCAAGAGCCCTGATGAGTTCATCATGGAGGTCAGCAGGGCCCTCGGTGTCGGGGCGATCCAGCTCCAACTCTGCCTAGTCCTTTCCGAAGCCGAGATGGACATGGAGTCCTCTTCCTCATCAGCAGTGAAGGAGATGAAGTCCACGGCAGCCCAGGGCCGAGTCGTCACCTTCGTCCCGAAGAAGGGGAAGGCCCAGGCAACTGTCTCTCTCGCTGCATTTTATACTGCCCGCAGGCTTGTCAGTATTTGCATTCATTTGCATAGATTAGCGACAATTGGCCAGTTTGTTGAACTGTCTGGCGTTATCCTATAATGTTTCAGGATTTCGGAGAAGGAGAGGAGTTCCCACTGCGAATGCTTCGCAATGTAGAGTGAATGCTCGAAAGAGAACAACATTGTATGGCCATGGTAATGCACACCAAAACGATTATTGCTCGTGTTATATTGCTTAAACATGTAAAGAAGGCATATTTTAAAATAACTGCTCATACATGTTTTTCAGAAAGATCTATGTACGTCCACCGTAAAGATCATAAAGAGCTCCCTCTCTAAAACAAATAAACTGACCTCTAAAATAAAAAAAAATAAAAATAATTGCATTATGAAATATGCTCTGATTAAGATTATAAATTATACTAAAAGCGAATTTGGATAAAATCCGTCGGACTTTTATCATAGAAAGTCTTTATCCACAATCCCTCACGACCGGAAGTAAGGCGGGGGAAACGGTCCACCCATTACCATCGGGAGAAAATGGATTGCTGCTAAATTGTGGATATATACTATTACAACAAGAGTCGTGCCTAGGTATTACAATCAATCTGGATTCTTATTTTTAATGTCGTATTTGCATTAATGCTAAAACTGCACTGAAGCGTCAATCCTCTGTAGGGTGTGCAGCTCGCGCTTCTGTTCACTGATGCTGAAACAATTAGATCGGCCAGTGTTTTCTCAGTGTATCTGTGTTATCAGACGCTGACAGTGTTTTTGTCTGCTGTAAATAGTCGCTGTCTTAAGCATTGGAACCGCACTGATCATGTGATCACACCGCGCGGCTGATCTGATGCTGATTTACTTGCATTGATCGCTTCGGTGTGCTTGTGCTGGTTCCCATAGAAACGCTTCAGATGAGATGAATTGTAATACTAGCATTCAGGTGACTAGAGAGGTGTGAGTACTGTTTACTCATAGACTGACTACCAAAACAGTGGTTTGATATTCTTGTTACCTTTTACATTTTTGCTCTAATGACGTATTTTATGCTTTATGGTTGTTTTAATATTTAAATTGAGTTAAAAAGCCTATAATAGGCAGTGTAATAGTATGTTCTAGTGTGACAACGTGCCCCACTATTGGATTCAGTGAACAGTATGTTTTTTTCTTAGTAGTCAATAACGGTTTAAATGTTCATTAGCTTTTATTTGTAGCCCAAATTTAAGATTTGTGTCTATAAAGATGTAGACTTAGCCTGAGGAAAGTTTTTCTTGTGTAAAATGTGTGACAACTAGCCCCAGTCTCCTCTGTTTGTCTAGCTTGTCGGTTCATATATATACCACAAGATGGGAGGCTGGAGTGTGTTTGTGTCCTGCTGTGTTTGGGCGATTCTTCTCCTGGCTCTGTTTGGAGATTCCCTGGCATCTGCGCCTGACTTTGATCCCTACAAAGTTCTCGGAGTGTCCAGACATGCCAGCCAGGCCGAAATCAAGAAAATGTACAAGAGGCTCGCAAGAGAATGGTGAGTGTTGAAACAGAGAGCGACAGAGATCATTGGGGCCATAGACATGCACTCTCTAAATAAGAATAGGATTGCTGTGAATAAGGTTAGGTTTCTTTTGTTTCATCCACAATGGTTAGCCTCCTTCTCTCTGACACATATTGTGTAACTCTCTGATGATGATGTCTGAATCTAAATTTGTTTTCACGCTCTATCCATAGGCATCCAGACAAGAACAAAAGTCCAGGGGCAGAGGACATGTTTATCAAGATCACAAAATCTTATGAGGTAGGATGGTTGCATTGTATATAGGAAATAATATGCAGTAAAGACAAAAACATGTGTTTTTATTTTTCAATCATAATTGTATGCATATATATATATATATATATATATATATATGTGTGTGTGTGTGTGTGTGTGTGTGTGTGCATACACTACCATTCAAAAGTTTGGAATCTGGATGATTATTTAAAATTATTTTGAAACAGGTGATCAGGGCTGCGTTTATTTTGATTATAAACTTCGGCAGAACACACCACACAAAACTGTATTTTAAATTGTTATTCGTTCACATTTAAAAAGCTCTCACACTTTCTGTTTGAGTATATTAAATAATATATTCATGTGATGATGCTGCTCAAGAAACATTTCTTCTTATTGTCAATGCTAAAAGATGTTTCATGTGTTAGAAATATATTTTTGTGGAAGCTGTGATATGTTTTTTAAGGATTTAGTTTTTTGATAAATGGAAAGTTCAAAGGGGCAGCATTTATTTGAAAATAGAATTTTTAGTTTGTAACATTATACATGTCTTAACTTTTGAATGCTAGCATATGTATCTGTGTTCGTAAAATGGCAAAAAAAAAATGTATCACTCACATAATAAAATAGATGGATGTTTATTTGTACATATATTACATTTAGTAAATAAATATATAGCATTATACCATTATAGTGACTTAAATATTTATAAATATATTGTATTATACTGCTATAGATTTTTATGCAATGCTTATCTAAAATTTATAGCTTATGATTGGTTTTATTGTTTTTTTTATTGCATGTGTTTTTGGCAAATCAGTAGTATTTTCTTGTAAATGTATGTTTACTCATTCTCACAGATGCTGATAATAAATATCTGCTCATTTTAAAGACTTGTTTAAGGGTTTACATGCAATAAACCAATACCACAACTCGTGGCGTTCCCTTTTGCCAAAAAATTGGCAATAAGCATGCATATTGATTTGCATATGATTTACTTTCCATAGATTCTGTCCAACGAGGAGAGAAGGGCAAACTATGACCGGTTTGGTGAAATGGACGAGAATCAAAACTTCGCCCGAGCACCGCAGGGCTTCAGACATTATCACGACAGCTTCTACTTCGATGAGTCTTTCTTTCACTTCCCTCGGACGAGTCGTGATTTCACAGACAGCAAGCACCTCTTTCACTACAACCAGTACATCAGTGAGGTGCTGCCGGATAGTTTCAAGAGGCCCTACCTGATCAAGATCACGTCAGAGTGGTGCTTCACCTGCATCCATATTGAGCCTGTATGGAAGGACACTGTGCAAGAGCTGGAGCCATTGGGTAAGTTCTTCAGGATTTTCACCCTCACAGTTGGTTCCAGTAGAATTGGGTGTCACAGCACACAAATATTGGGTAAAAGAGTCTTATAGTCCATAGAAGATGGCAATATTTTTAATTAAATTATATCAAATACTCCGAATATATCGTATTGGTTTGGTTTTTAGGGGTTGGTATTGGTGTGGTGGACATTGGATATGAGAGACAGCTGGCTAACCATCTTGGTGCCCACCGCACACCTTCCATACTTGGTTTAATCAATGGCAAAGTCACTTTCTTCCACTACGCTGTGGTCAGGGAACACTTGAGACAGTTTGTGGAAAGCCTTCTGCCCCAGAAGCTGGTTGAGAAGGTAGGATTGAATGTTGTTCTCCAGGATGGAAATACTGTGCCAGCCATTTGAGGTGTATTCTTAATTATTCAGGTTGCAAGATTCAACTTAATTCAAGCATTGGCTCTTGTTGCTGCAAATATGACATTAAACATTCATAATGCAACTAAAAGAGGTAATAATTGAAGTTTTATTTGCTTTTTTTTCTCCTTTTTTTCCTTATCCCTTTCCATTGCTTTTCACTTTCCACTCTTCTTTTACTCCCTTCCCTTTGTCCCTTTAATTTTCACTCTCTCTCCCGTTTCCTTTCCTTCCCGTTTCTGTTTCATTTTAACTGTCTTTCCCATTTCTTTTCCTGTTCCCTTTCCATTTTCTTTCCTTTTTATGTTCTCCTCTTGTCCTCTCCACTTCTCCTTTTCTTTTCTCTTCTATCTTCTACCTTTTCTTCTTCTCTTCTTTCCTTCTCCCTGTCCCTTGCTATTTTCCCTTTTCCTTTCATTTTACATTTATGCACCTTTTTCGTTTTCGCCTTTCCGTTCCCTTTTCTCGCTCCCCTTTCCCCATTCCTTTTCTGTTTTTTTTCTTTTAGGTGACGGATAACAGCTACCTTGAGTTTTTAAACAGTTGGCATGAAGAGAATAAGCCAAGAGTGCTAATGTTTGATGTAGCATCTAATATTCCTCTTTTGTATAAGGTGAGTGTTTATTATATTAACTGTTCAAACAGTCATTAAGATCTGTGAAGTTGTTATATTCTCTTGTTCGCAGCTTACCGCGTTTGCCTATAAAGACTATGTGAGGTTTGGCTATGTGGACATGGGCCTGACTGAGACCTCCAAAGTCGTGCAGAGGTTCAACATCAACACATACGCTCCCACCATGCTCCTCTTCAAAGAGAACACAGACAAACCAGCTGATGTTATACAGGTGAGGCCCAGCTCCCCATTAGCTAACATCCAATTGCAGTTTTTCTCAAAAACTATACACCGGCTATTTTGTTTTTGCTAGACGAATTCTGTTTAGGCTTGCTGCGATAGATAGATGCCCCCCACCGTCTTTTTTATTTTTTTATAGTAATAAAAATCATTTAGTTCTTAAAAAATAAAAATCATTTAGTACTTAAAAACTGAACAATGCAGCGTGCCGAACGACAGTCGCATCTCAGATCAGCAGCAGGAGTCAGATTTCATGTGTCACGTGAGGAGAGTGAGTCGAGGTGAGACGGACAAGACGATGGCGAAAGATTTAGTTTCGAAGCGAAATGCAAAAGCGCCTAGCTGTTTGGCTGTATTTTGGATTTTGAAAAGCCTGTTGGCGTTTGCCGTTCATCTAAGGTGATTTTGTAAGTTGTTTTTATTTTTTAACATTTGTTTCTTATTTATTTGGTTCCACAGTGTTTGCTGATTTTTACTTTATTTAAACTTTGTGTAATTTATTTTTGTTTTATTTTACATCAAGGTGTATGCCATGCCTTTAAGCTTTCTTATTAGTTTTGCTTATAAACGTTATTTATTTCTTATTTATTTGGTTCCACAGTGTTTGCTGATTTTCTTTTTTTTTTTTTTTTTTTTTTTTTTTTTTTTTTTTTTTTTTTTTTTTTTTTTTTTTTTTTTTTTTTAGTATATTTAAACTTTGTGTAAGTTATTTATTTTATATTAGCCCAATAGCATGGTGTATTTTTATTCGGTTTGTTAACAAAAGTTCTATGTTTAATAAAAGTGAGTTTGTCGTTGTACCATTTTGTTGTTGTCCATTCAAGCAATTGACGCTGAATTGCGGCTAATTCGAAAGTGAAAGTAAAATGCGCACGGGCATTTACAAGCTATTTAAAAGTGAAGGAAAGAGGGAAAACCCCAACGAACCCCACCCCTCGGTGATACCGGTATTACCAGTGTTGTCACACGTAGATTAACCGCTGTAAAAATTTCCTCACCGTCACAACCCTAATCCTGTTTTGTTTTCTTCCCTAGGCAAGAGGAATGAAAAAGCAGATAATTGACGAGTTTGTGTCCAATAATCGTTTTCTGCTGGTGCCGCGGCTGGTAAATCAGAAGCTCTTCGATGAGCTCTGTCCAGTTAAACAGTTCCACCGTCGCAGGAAGTACGAAATCTCACCTCTAACTGTAGCATTAGATGTTGGTGGACTTGCGTCTCTGAGCAAACTTCATCATCTCACTGTCTTTCTGTTTGACAGGTACTGTGTTCTTCTCGTTACCGGTGAAGGGGAGCAGTTTGTGTCAGTGAATGAGGCGTTCTTTGACTTCGCTTCCTCCAACACTAAAGAAGTTCTCAGGTTTGCTTATGTTTATCAGAGACAACAGCAGCCTCTCTGTGACACCCTGCTCAAAAAGGAAGACACAACACCTCCACAGGTCAGACATTCATGTGCTAACACACACACACATTTAGTTATCTTGTTTGGTGCCATATGAATTTATACCTTGTGTGCAAATGACTTCAGGTGATTCTCCTGGAGAGACGCAGCGCTACAGGAAGGGTGTTGTATCGGACCGTGATGGGGGGATGGAATGGGAGTGATGATGATAAGCACCGCCTCCTTGAGCAGCTTGAGCTTCTGCAAAGAGACCCCTCCTACCTTACCCACGATGCCATGCTGCCTGAACTCAACAATGAGTTTGCATCTGTAAGTCATGCGGAGGGAAATGAAGGGCTATGATTGTCTTTAGGACTTTGTGATTTTAATACATTTCTAATCTTTAGAAGTGGCAATGAGAGATAATTAACAGTAATAATTATTATTTTTTTAATTACAGATGTTTCTGATTCAGTGGATCAACACTGCATATGATTACCTCGCTCAGTTTTACTTTGATCTTCTCTACTCTAATTGGTGAGTGCAATCAAAAAGTATTCATGGTCCTGTCTGCATGCAGTTTCAATGGTTTGCGTTCTGGAGCCAGAGCACAATCTTGGCCAGTGCTCGACCAGGCTAACTGGATCCTGTTGCAAACCAGCCACGTTTTTCCACAGATTTGAGAAATAAACATTGCTTCGTGTTGTTTACCTGACTGTAGCCAGTCTAAAACAAACCGGTTCCAGTGTTGAACCGATCTGGCACAGGACCCACTTTTATGCTGTGGAAACGTGCAGAATACTTGTATAGGGTTCGCGATGGCGCCGACGCCGATGGCTGCCTCCGTGGCGTGCTCCGCAGTTGTTTTTATGTTTTTGTTAGTTTGTCCTGTCTTTAGTTATATCCCTGCAATCAGTTTCACCAGAGACGAATTGCTGGACATTCGGAAGTACACACCACCCGATATTTCACCGGTTTTCGATTATTCTGATGTTTTGCTGGACATTGTAGTCGGGGGATCAGCTGCGCTGATCAAGCGATTCAGGACGCGCAGACGGGGGAAGAGAGCCGGCGCGCTCGTGAAGCTCAGGCAGCGCGGATTCAGAACGCCGTTGCCTAGCATCCATCTGGCGAACCTCCGCTCTCTACCCAACAAAACGGACGAGCTCCTTCTGCTCTCCCGGACAAATAAGGATTTTTCAAACTCTGCTGCTCTGTGTTTCACGGAAACCTGGCTGAAAGACGCCATTCCGGACAGCGCGTTGAGTCTCCCGGGCTTTCAGCTGTTCAGAGCAGATCGTGACGCAGAATCAACGGGGAAATCACGCGGCGGCGGGACATGCTTTTACATCAATGAGAGGTGTAAAGATGTAACTGTTAAAGAAGATGTGCTGTTCAGATCTAGAAGTGCTCTTCATTAACTGTAAGCCTTTCTGCTCGCCGCGGGAGTTTTGCTCATTCATTCTCGTAAGTGTGTACATTCCTAGAATGGTTCAAGAATCTATGTCAGTGGAAACAGGACATCTGTGGTCCGTTGTGATCAATCAGAAATTAAAGCAACATAAGCATCACTTGACTTTCAGGACATAGAGTATGAATGAAATTCGGACGTAGTGTAACAACACGTTTCTGTGCACGTGTGTCTTTACTCTAATGATGTGTGTGCGTTTGAGTGGGAGAAAGAAAGTATGTGCTTTCCGTACATAATAAAACTTAATTTTGTGGAAAAAACATGGAAATAATTTGTTGTTTTAATCCAATTGTTTACTATATTTATTTGCTTGGTCAGTGTCGTGGGTTTTGGTTATTTTGCTGTTTTAAAGGGGTCATATGATGCTGCTAAAAAGAACATTATTTTGTGTATTCCTGGAACTACTTTAGCCGCATTTCCCTGAAAATAATTGCACATCTTAGAACGTTCGTCAGCCAATCAGATTCAAGCATTCAACAGCTCCATAGTATAATGTTAAAATATCTGCAATAGACTATAAAGACTATAAGATAGACTTAAAACAGTGTAAAAGCTGTACATTGTGTGCAAAAATGTTTTTAAACATTTTTTTTTATTGAATTTACCAATTAGCAGCTCTACATTTTTTTTATAAATGAGAAACTTGTCATGTTCTGCTTCCCCCCTAGGCGTGAGATGATGCCCGTACTGTCTCTGATCTTCTCAGCTCTTTTCATCCTGTTTGGGACTGTAATCATTCAGGCCTTCAGGTAGGACAGAGGTGTGTGTGTGTGTGTGTGTGTGTGTGTGTGTGTGTGTGTGTGTGTGTGTGTGTGTGTGTGTGTGTGTG